GTTGTCAACGCACTCCACTAAACTCGATCTCCCACCAACCCAAACAGCTCCCCAAACCATCACGCTGAAACCACCATGCTTCACAGTTGGCTGCAATCTGTTGAGCCAAAACTCTTGGTGAGGCATTCTCCAGACCCATATCCTTCCACTGTCCGAAAATTGGGCGAATCTTGATTCGCCTGTGAAAAATACGGTCTTCCAAAAGTCCAGAAGCTTGGTCATCATATCACTTGCCCACTTCCTTCGTCTGACTATGTTGGCAGGTCTTAATAAGGGCTTCCATCTAGCTGCTCTGCAACGATAACCCAATTTGGTATAGAATCCGTTGAACAGATTTCGGGCTCATCCCACCAACTTTGGCCATTTCTGCAGTCGTTAATCTGGTATCCATTTCGATGCTCCTCTTGACAGCCCTTTTTGTCCTCTCCGATGGACCAGGACGACCCGAACGCTGCTCAGTTGTTTCCTTGCCGTGTTTCCTGAACTGCACGATGGTTCTGTTGACTGTCGAAAGCGGGATTCCCAAATTCTGCGAAATTTACCGCTGACTTATTCCACCATCTGCTTGACCAACTATCCTTCCTCTAACAAATTTGACAATTCGAGAGAACCTATTTGGTTTGACAGACATAACTTAGTTTAACTATAAGAAAAAAACTTTTTTTAACAAAATGAACAAATATTGTTCTGAAATGTATTTCCAATACAAGTTGCCCCACCCCCACCCCCAGTGGATAGCGTTATGTCTGCAGACTTATACTACTAGAAACCGGGTTTCGATACCCTTGGTGGGTAAAGCACAGATAGCCCTTTGTGTAGCTTTGTGCCTAATAACGAAAAACAACAATAGTAAAAGTTGAAACTGTAAATCCATTCTCTGATAACAAATGAAAAGTGGCTCAAATATGACATAAATCTAACAATTCAATATTTGGAAAGGAATTTAATGTAAACTTACATGTTAGAGTAACCATGTAAGAAAGTTAAATTGTTGAACGCAAAGCCACACGATGTGTTATCAATGCCATGCGCACCGCGAGTATTGATCCCCGAAGTTTAACGTTGTAAGCTTCCAAGGTTAGCCTTGAACCTCGGGGATGGGATGAGGATTTTCAATCAGTTATGTAAACTTCGCGAAATAATTTCCGTGTGCTAGACTAAATCTGATATCTCGCCACTTTTACAGAATTGCTCTCCACTGGTGCAGCGGTAAATCGATAGACTTATAACGCTAGAAACCGGGTTTCGATACCGGTGGGGGTAGACCACAGATAGCCTATTGTGTAGCTTTGTGCTTAACAACAAACAAGTTTACAGTATTTCATCTATGACGTTTCGACTTTTCATTTTTCTCTGTTTAGATTAACGCTACTATAACTACGACGTTTACAGTATTTCATATATGACGTTTCGACTTTTAAGCTTTTTCTCTGTTTAGATTAACGCTACTGTAACTAGAACGTTTACAGTATTTCATATATGACGTTTCGACTTTTGCTTTTTTCTGTTTAGATTAACGCTACTGTAACTAGAACGTTTACAGTATTTCATATATGACGTTTCGACTTTACCTTTTTCTCTGTTTAGATTAACGCTACTGTAACTACAACGTTTACAGTATTTCATATATGACGTTTCGACTTTACCTTTTTCTCTGTTTAGATTAACGCTACTGTAACTACAACGTTTACAATATTTCATATATGACGTTTCGACTTTACCTTTTCTCTGTTTAGATTAACGCTACTATAACTACAACGTTTACAGTATTTCATATATGACGTTTCGACTTTTAATTTTTCTCTGGTTAGATTAACGCTACTGTAACTACGACGTTTACAGTATTTCATATATGACGTTTCGACTTTTCCTTTTTCTCTGTTTAGATTAACGCTACTGCAACTACAACGTTTACAGTATTTCATATATGACGTTTCGACTCTGTTTAGATTAACGCTACTGTAACTACAACGTTTACAGTGTATGATAATTGTTTCTTGTACTGCTGTGTTGGTTTAATATTCTCTCCAGTCGAATTTAAAATCAGCCTCTGATAAATTGAATTATGCAAAACTTTATTCATATGTTATGTCCTCCCGTGTTAGACCAGCATGTTCGTCATAAATGGAATAATTTTGTCTGTTATAACTTATTCTTTACTATCCGTTACCCGCAAAACATTTGCGGTAGTTTTCATGCCCTTCGCTTGAATTTTCCCTATTAAATCATTTTCACGCACGCCAATTACGCTAAGCTTTCTTGCAGGCATTACGTGTTAGATCGATAAATCCTGGTCTATTAAAAAAATTACATGGTCAGACAAACAAACTTACGTAGACGTAACTTTATTTAATAAAACTACATGTAAAGTAAACAATAAAGTAAAGTAATAGTATTTACAATAGTGTACAGAGTATGACAGTTATAAACGTTCAGTGTATGACGAGTTTTATGAGTTGAAAAGAAACTCACAAAAACGAAGAATAAAACTCGTCCTAAAGAAAAATGTAGCTAAAAGGTGTTTAAAGCAGTCTATGAATCGAAGCTAAATGAGTGTAAAGTAAAATAAATGTAAAGTTGCAATGAAGGCAAACTTAGTTGAATATGCAGAAACGTCTGAATGCCTGTTCACAAAGTGATAAGCATATGGTTTTGAACGAACTGCGCATGCGTACTTTAGACCTAAATAAACCGAGAAAGCCCATAGAAATTGAGCTAATAATGAAAACGAATGTTGATAAAATGACTCGGTGCATAAAAGAAATTTATGATCTACTTATTCACAAGAATCTCGGAAAAAAAGTAATTACTACACGTAGTAAGACATCATGGGAATTATATTGTTTTCTGCAGCAATATTACAGTATTTCAAAAAAAAACGGTTTAACTCATTTGAATGTCTATCTTTTCTGACATTTTGTACAATTATCAAATAAATAATCAAACAGGAACAGGATCTCAAGCAGTCAAATTGCACACGTTGTCCGTCTGGACTTGAAACTAAAGGCAATTTTGTCCATCTTTAATATTTTGAAAGTATCACGATTGATTTGTATTTCAAACAAACAAATCAACAACAACAAACAGAAAACTTCCTTTACTTTCCTCGAAAGTAGTAAACTTCCCTTTTCAAGTCTTTAGCCTTAAACGGTTAAATTGTTCGTGGAGCCTTTCACGAATAAACTCGTAAAATTCATATTCCATAGTAAGATTTTTCTTTAAGATTTTTTTCACTTCTTCAGAGATCACCTTCTTCTGCGAATTCTTGTTTTTGATTTCTGCTGTGGAACAAAAACAGGATTGTATTAGAAATAATTTAACACCTTTTTTATGGATTTACCGGTTTGAACCCTCGGTGATTAATATATAACACATACAAAAGTATGCCGATAGAAAAAAAATCATAACATTTTAACCT